ACACACACACACACACACACACACACACACACACACACACACACACAATCTGTTCTCTGTCTCATTGCACCTTTCTGTATCCTGCAGGAGATCCAGCAGCGGCATGGCCTGGCCAACTCCATCTCTTCCTACTTGATTAAGCCTGTGCAGAGGGTGACAAAGTACCAGCTGCTCCTGAAGGTACCTCCCCTCCCCACCCTATCCTCACTCCTGACCAGAAAACCCCTAACAGTGGGCAACCCTCACCTGAAGCCTTGCTTCTACCTTCAGCAGAGCCTCAGGTGAGCCCCCACCACCATTGCTGGCTCTAGACTGTGTGTCCTAACCCACAGAATTCCACATGCTTGTTTGGGGGTAGAGATAAAAGAAAAACTCTTAAAGATTATCACCTTGGGCACTGGGCAGCTCCATCCCTCCTTCCTGAGCAGATGTCCTCCTCCTGGCCTTCCACTTGCTGAAACCAAGGTGGAAGTCTTAAGGAAACTGTGGTCTATTCACCCATTGGTGTCTTCCATCTCCTGGACTACCGTGTCTGTGACCGTCCATAGGGTTATTGAAGGAGAACAGTCAAAGGGGATGTGTCAGACTCAATGAGACCCATATGTTGGGAGTGCTTCGGGAGCCAACCAAGACAAGCAGGTTTTCTTCCAAAGTCAAGGTTCTTAAAAGCTCAGTAGACAGATTATGTAAAACACTAGGTTGGTTTCTCTCTTCCTTATATAAGGATGTGCCCATATTCTAAAAATAAAGTCATTTCTATAGGAAGCCAGGAAAATTGACATAGACATTTCAATATCAATATGTCTACATTAATTCTTGAAGTGTAAGGGTAGAGGTTTTCTAGCTTTTGACTATATTGTTTGTTGTTCATCTAATGAAAAGGACTTGTACAAAATAGTGTACCTTCAGAGTCAACACTCAATTCCATTTACGTTTAGCAACACCTGCAGGATCTTCCCTAACCTAGCTTCCCCAAACCTGAAAGCCAGTCTGACTTTCAAGCCCAAGGCTCTCTTCCCACATTCCCCTCACATCATAGCCCCGGTACCCAGGTTTCTGGGGTAGGGGCATGGTGCTCATGGCCCCACAAAGGAAGCTTGAGGTGTTATTTCTGGGGAGACTACCAGCACATTTTCCTGTTTTCTGTGTGACAGCAGAGTCATGCAACCAGCCTTCCCTCAGCCCTTTCCTCCCCATACTTCAGAAATGAGACAGACACACAAGCTATCTAGCCTGGCAGAATGCCTTAGAAACTTCCAAGAGGCATCATGCGCAGAGCTGTTGCTAAGCATGCAAATCATCAGGTGGGGGATCAGTGAGGAATAGAACATATGTTGGCTCTTGGGGCAGAATTGCTTTTATTCTTCAGCTTTTAAAGTTTTCACGTAAAGACCAGAAATACCCATAAGGTCTCGGGGCAAGGAGTCCCTTTCCTAAAAACTCAGTGTGATTCTGACGTTTAAGTCAGAGGAGCTAGCGAATCTACTTGGCCTTTGAATCTCAGGTTGTGGCCTATAGCCTAGAATCCTATGGACAGTGTTCCTGTCCTGCTTAATGCTTGGTCCTTCTAAATAAAGTATCTTTCTCATACTGATAGTCTTTTTTCAAAATTGATTTTTGTGTGAACCTGGAGAGATGCCTCAGTAGTTAAAATCTCTAGCTGTTTCTTCCAGAAGACCTGAGGCCAAACCCCAGCACTTACGTGGCAACCCAGAATTGTCTGTAACTGTAGTTCCAGAGGATCTGATGCCTTTTTCCGGCCTCCATGGGCATATAAAGGTGCATAGACATGCATGGAGGCAGAAACACCCATACATACAAAATAAAATCATTTTTAAAATGGGTTTTTTTTTGTGGCTTTTGATTTATGTATTGAAAAAAGCCTTTGTAGGACTTGATAAGGCTGAGAGTTTTGAAAGGAAATAAATACTGATGCTCCAGCCACATTGCCCGTCTCAAACGAATTAAGGTGGTGCTCTAAGAGGAATTCAGTCATTCTCCTCTCCCCGTTAGCCCTGTAATGCTGAAGCTCCCTAGTTACATGAGTTATGTGAGAGGGGTGAGGAAGGAAATGTAGATTGGAATTAGCTTTCAGCAGCTAGAAAATTGGGCCCAGGACTTCCCTTTCTGGAATTGAGTATTTGGGGGAGAGAGGTGTTTGCACTGGGAATTGAGAGGCAAACAAATGAGGTGGCAATGATTTTTATTGCAGGGAAGTTGTAAAATTATTGTAAAAAGGTAATTTTGGCTCCTTTAAAACGTGCTGGTGGCAGGGTGCCTGATGAGTAAAAATAATTTGTTGAGCTTTGCCATAAATAACATGGCATTTATTTTCTCTTTGAAGTCAGTTTAATTCCAAATAAATTGATCTTTAATTGTCAGTATCCTCTGGGGCTCACAGCTTAGGAATTGCAAGAAAGTGAGACTGTGCCATTTGGAGTGTTTGATCGACTACTTGTTAATCTGCTGTCCTTTTCAGAGCCTAAATTAAATGTGCAGGCTCCTCCTTATCGGGAACCCGTTGCAGGGGCCCTGGAGAATTTATGGCCTCTGCTGGTAAATTGGTAGACTTGCTAAATTGCTTAGGGGATTAAACTAATTGGTGTTTTCTGTTGCAAACTGAAGCGTATTTCTCATGTCTGTCTCATGCTTTACCTCAGGCATTCCTTTGTGGATGCTTGAGAAAAGGGCGGGGACGTGAGAGAACCTCAGGGTGGTAGTGACAGTGATGCCGCTATGTCAACTGGAAAGGACAGGGCCAAGAACTTCAACTTCCCCCAACACGTCCTCTGCCTAAATACCCCAGACTCCTCTGTTCATATGGAAATGTCTCCAAGACAACTCAGGAAAAATCCACAGACTGGATTTTTGTCTCAGGTTCTCACTAATCACATATTTTCCCCAAGTGGGGAGCTTTGCTAATGAATTTAGTGGTATAGATGATCCCAAGGCAGTGGTGGGGCCTGGGACCACTGGTGAGGTTCCATCCCTTTCCCGCACTGTCAGAACGTGCTCTGGCCCAGGTCAGCACACACCAGGGAGGCGTGCCTCATGCCCTCCCTTACCCTGCTGAAGTGTAGTTGCTTTTTACTTAGAGAGCTGCCTAGCTGGCGTCTGCGTCACTCTCCAGAGAGCGATGCCATTATTGCAGGTTTGTTCACTGTAGGAAGTGCTAGCAGTCGAGATAGACCCTGTTTCCGAGCATTCCACAGAAAAGTATCCTCCTGCTGTCAACTACCTTTATTTGCCAGGAGAGGGGAGGGGCGGAGAGGACGAGAACAGGCTCATGGACAGGCGGTGGACAGGGTGCCAGGTGTGCATTCTGACCTGCCTCTCAGGCTCTGCTTGGCCTCCTTGGAGCTCCATTCCTCTCCACCCCAGGCTCCTACATGGTTATCAAAGTCCTCCTCAGGAATCTCATTCATCCTCCCCAGGCCAAGAATTCCTGATCCTTGTGATCCACTTGACCTCTGACCTGTTATAAATCCATAACATCTCTGGTTGGCCCCAGTGGGCTGGACATCAGCCCTCACACAGTAGAGGCTGTAGAGGAAAGTGACGTCAGCCATAGGTGTGCAGAGATCCACAAGGGCAGTGTGACGTGCCCTCTGCTTCTTCACTGTTCTCCTCACGGCTCCCTGCATCCTGGTGTGCTTCACCAGGAAGAGCAGCCCGGTGACAGAGCACTCCAGTTTTAAAATTCCAGCCATTCAAAAACATGTTGGATCGAGTTAGTTTGGACTAGGTAGAACTTACCTGGTCATCGAGGCTTCTTTAACAGTAATCCCCATCCCACTCTGTCTGAGGGAACCCTTACAGACAGGGCGAGGCTGGTGTGTAGTTTACTCGATGGCTTGAGGAAAGGGAGGGTCGGGAAACCAGGGAGATGATTTTAATTGTGTCTGGACTTTTTTTTCCCAGGAACTCTTAACTTGCTGTGAAGAAGGGAAAGGGGAGCTCAAGGATGGCCTGGAGGTGATGCTCAGTGTCCCCAAGAAAGCCAATGATGCCATGCATGTCAGCATGCTGGAAGGTAGCTGATCTCCCAGGCCTTCTGGGATGCCACCTCCATTGCTAAGACCAGGGAATTTGTGTTATAGGAGGGAAGTGGCATGGAGGCAGGCAAGGAACAAGGCTAGAAAAGACAAGAGATGAGTAAAAACAAGTTATCAAATGGGTCCTTGGCTACCTGCAGGAGCAGTACCACAGACCAGCAGGGGTAACGTCTGCCTCCGCTTTGTCATCCATGAGATAATCCAGTGCAGGCCATACAGACCTGCTCATACATAGCCTTTGCATTGCCTTCAGTCAGAATAACTGGAAATGCTAGTTACGCACAGTATGTATACACCACTGAATTTAGTGTGATATCAGCCTTCACACACACACACACACACACACACACACACACACACACACCCCTTTTCAGGACTGAAACTGAACCCAAGCCTTGTCCATGATGAACAAGCACTCACTACTAAGCCATATCCACAGTTCTTTTTGCTCAAAGTCTCATTAAACTGTCCAGAGTAGCCTTGAAATTATGACCCTTTCTCAGCCTACAGAGTGCCTAAAATGATAGGTATGCACCATCATACCCAGCTTCTTTAAAATATAAAAGAACACATGACATAAATTTACTATTAATGATTATTTTGTATTGAATGGTTAAGTGGCATCCAATATATTCAAATTCTCATGCAACTACTCTTTTTTTTTTCTTCTTGAGGACATAAGAAAGCCCAGCCAGGTGACCCTGACAGGACTGTAGTCAGCTAGATCTGTGGCCTTGGGGTCTAGAAGTGCAGAATGAAGGAAGGCCCCTATGACATGGTCTTAATGTTGTAAAACAGATGTATAGAGGCACCAGCCCGGGGTGAAGTTGCTAGCTGGGTAAAGACTTAACCTTTCAGTCTGACAAGCAGATGCTAAGAAAACAACTCGTGGGCCGCCCTTTCTCTTCTGGCATCATCCCACAGTACCACCATTGCCACTGCCATCATCTAAGACTCGGTGTGGTCGCAGTACTTCCCGGACCATCCTTACTACAAGAATGCCCAGGCCTTAGAGCAGTAGAGCCGATGTCGCCTTCCCTAGACTAAGCACTGGCCATCTGAGAGCGTTCCTGTTGTCACAGTTTCTCCACAGGACCTCCAATGCTGGGGTCCTCCTTTATAAGTACCCCATTCACCCAAACTGTCCCTCACCCATGATCCAGCCACTCCAGTATGGCCTGTGGACCTGTACAAGAGAACTGGTTGGCAGTGCACATTTATGGACTCGCCAAACACCCCCTGAACCAAATTCTCTTGGTGGAGAGCGGTGTTCAGAATTCATGTTTTCACATGCCTTCCAGGCAATACTTGTGCACAATAAGGTTTGGGCTCTTTCTGGAAGATCTGAACTGGTATATAAATTTTAAAAATGTCCAAAGTTTGAGCGTCACACTGTTTAGGACCACTAAAAAGGATACTAGAGATAGACTATAAGAAATGAGGCGATGCCAGATAAAGCAGGGCCAAGGATAGCATACCAACTGGGGCTCCACCTGAGCCCCACTCAGAAGTGGAAGAATGATGGGAGCTGTGGAGGGAGATGCTCTGGGGACCGCCTGTTTGGGAACCCCTCCCACCCAGCCCTTCTCACACTGGGAGGGGCGCATCCCACGGGACCTCTTGGGAAAACCCCACTCATATAGCATATGTATGTAGGAGACGTGGTGCAGGGAATGGGCGGTGGGAGATGCCTGTTCTGTAGGCAGATATGCTCCATTAGCTCTCCACGGAACCCAGCAGCCAACTAGGAAATCTGTTCTCCGAGGGGGACTACAACCCAGCCTCCCCTGAGGGTAGTGTTGGGGAGACTCCACAGGGCTCGTGGGTGTTTTTCAGGGTTCGATGAGAACTTGGATGTACAGGGGGAGTTGATTCTCCAGGATGCCTTTCAAGTGTGGGACCCAAAGTCGCTGATCCGGAAGGGGCGGGAGCGGCACCTGTTCCTCTTTGAGATCTCCTTGGTGTTTAGCAAGGAGATCAAAGACTCTTCAGGACACACGAAATATGTTTACAAGAACAAGCTACTGGTAGGTGGGGCGGGCGGGCTGAGAGAGTCCCTGCTTCTGTAGAGCCTGTGGGCAGGAAGGGAGAAGGATGTAAACCTCTTCCCCCCCTTATTATAGCTCACCTCTTCTCCACTCCAAAGTTCTCCCGGACAAAAGCTCATGTCTGCTACTTGGAAAGCTCCCACCCACAGCCTCCACTTCTTCATCTTAGAGTTCACAGGTCTTCCTGTTTGCTTTAGCGTCTCCTTCTTCACCATCCCTCCCTGTACCTGATCATCAGGCGAATGCCTGCAGGTCCTTTCATCCTGGGTATATGAACAAAATATCCAGTCTGTTGAAGCCTGATTGACAGAAGCCCCTTCCTTGGCCCTCTCCTCTTTGTTGCCTTCCCCTTCCTATCCCAGCCCTAAGTCTCCCCCACTGCCCTCCCCTTCCCCGCCTCTCACAGGCATTTCCTGTCTACAGACCTCAGAGCTGGGTGTGACCGAGCACGTAGAAGGTGACCCCTGCAAATTCGCCTTGTGGTCTGGGCGCACCCCATCCTCAGACAATAAAACAGTGCTCAAAGTAAGTACTGCTCTCTTCTAGCACAAAGTCAGGGTTGGGGTAATCGAGTAGGGTAAAGGAAGCAGGCATGAGACACCAAAATCAGGGCCTAGGGACCACTGACCCACCAGGCCTCTCTTGGGAATGACAGCATCGTTCAGGTATCAAGAGGCAGATTTGACTATGAAAGTGGACCCAGAATCTCAATGGCAGATGTTCTCCTCAAGTTCATAGAGGGCAGGGAATGGCATATTGGCTTCCTTAACAACGCTGAGTCAGCTGGCCTCTGTCCGTATATCCCCTTCCAGTGGCAAGAACAACCAGCCTTTAAACAAAGGCATCTTGAGTGTTTACCCTAAATGTCCTCTGTGGACAAGGTCCTCTGCTTAATGCCATTTAAAAAAAAAAATGTGTAAGGTATGGTCCTTATTCTCTGGAAACATGTATGCCAGAAGTTCCATTAAACCACAGTAGTCTGGGGCCCAGATGGTCAGTTCAGCTCTCCTGGTTCAGCCTGGTGCTGAGTCCCTGTTCCTGGTGGCACTAGCCTAATGAGGTTAGGGATACTGCAAATAGAGCTTCCGTTGGCCACTTGTTAGCCTAGACAGTGTCCTTTACCATGAAACAGATGGTCCAGCTCAGGCAAAAGCTTCACAAGTGTCCACCATTAATTTTCAGAACAGCTGCTGCCTGCCATGAAAAGTTATCTGAAAAAGGATCCAGGAAGACATGGGCTATTATTGGCATGAGAGCAGTGCTTCTGATAAGCAGACTTAGCAGCCTGAAACCCCAGTATTGACTGTTGGCCTTTGTAGGCTGTATGGGTGTGACAGGGGTTAAACATCCTAACATATACCCATTACCCTGCTGGTAAACAGCCACTGCTTCCTCAGGCGTCACAGACTCCAAGTGCCGTCAGGGCTGACTAGGATCCACAATTCAATGGGAATCCAGGCCCAGCAGAATGCAGCAAATCCTGCTCCAGCTCCAGGGCCTATAGCAGATGGGTCAGTGCCTAATGAATTGTGAAATGTGTTAGAAGTCCTCCATAAAATCTACATTAAGCCTTGAGGTTAAAGAGTCCAAGGATAAAATGTGAAATCAACTCCCCAAAGATCTGGTGTCTTTGGGATAACAGCTGAACCTGTAGGGGGGAAGAGTTGAACATGGTTTTCAAGGGCAACCAGAGCAGGGCTTCTCAATGTTTCTCCCTGTGGCGCTGTAGGCTTCCAACATCGAAACCAAGCAGGAGTGGATCAAGAACATTCGAGAAGTGATCCAGGAAAGGATCATTCACCTTAAAGGAGCTTTAAAGGAACCAATCCAGCTCCCCAAAACACCAGCCAAACTGAGGAACAATAGTAAGAGGTAACCAACGCCTTTCCCCAATCACTGATGCCTCAGGTGCCCAAGGGAGGGGGACAGGGTGGCCCTTCGTTTCTAGGGGGAACTGCACTGTCCTCCATCTAGGAAGACCCGCGAGTTCTACCTGTGGCAAATTCTGCCATCTTTAAGCTTCTCATCTGTTACTGTCCATTACTGCGGCAGGGGCTCTCTGAGCACCCTTCACTTAAGTGTGCCACCAGAATGCGAGAGGAAGTATAAGTTGAGTTACATCCCCCAAGAACCTTCCCACAACTATGTCTCGTACATGGAGTGGTTACATGAGAACAGTAGCATCTGGAGAGGGTAAATGCTGTCAAACAGGGAACAGTGTTGACGCTCTGTGGAGCTGGGGAAGGCTTCGGGAAGAACAGTGTGTGAGTGGGAAGGCCTCCACGTCGGTCAAATGGTAGAGGAGTTTTGCACAGCCCTGGGGTAGGCCAAGGATATCTCTGCTGCTCCTAAGGAGTCCTCTTCACTAACCTTCAATGACCAGTGGTCAGCAGAAGAGGACCTATTCCTTGACTGTCTCTGGGCCCTTCTGAGCCCTAGCTTCCTCTGAGGCCGTGCATGGCTTCTTAAGTGCTACCTTCTCAAGTCTCCATCTGGCATGAGCACTTCCAATGACTCCGCTGGAGGAAGCTTGGAGGAAAGCTTACAAAAATGTCAACACACGTGGCTTAAAGCAAAATACACAGCATAGTGGTGTCCTGAGAGTAGTGGTACAAGCACGCCACTCCTCCCCAGTTCCCAAATGGCACAAGCCAGAGCACTTCATTGAGCACCTTTCAGTATCAACCAGGATAAGCAAGGTAGGGAAGCAGTGCAGAGTCATGGCATTAGGGTGCCAGCACCGAGAGAGGTCGTGACCCCAAGAAGGATATGACAGAAACAGAGACTCCTCCAAAGTGATCGCCAGGATCAGATCACTTCCCCAGTGCTGCAGGGACCAATTATGACTACTGAAAAGGGGCCATTTTAACTTTCTGTGCTTATGTCTGGATAACACAGGAGATGACCCTGCTTCAGGGAGCTCCTCCTTCAACAAGGAAAATGGTGTAAAGAATGCGTCTTCCAGGACTGTGTGAGAAGGAAACTTAGTTGAGGCGGATGAGGGCTGCTCCAAAATCTAAAGTAGAGTTGGAGAGTTTCTAGAACACATGAAGGGCGCATCTTGGCACTATCCGCCACCCTCTCTCTGTCCCCTGCCTCTTCTCCTCTCCTTCATGGCATAGAGAGAGGCCTCACAGAGTGCAGAGAACAGCCAGGAAGTCTGATCTTCCCTTAGCTTAGCTTCCTGGATATAGCAGCAGAGCTTAGGGAGGGGTACGTGGGCTTGGGGGACGCCACCTACACTCCCAGATCAGCCCTTTCAGTCTCCAGACCTGGTTTCATCTGGAGTGAACTAGAAGGGTCCCTAATAGGGCCAAAACAGCAGGAAGCAGAAAGTACAGCCGGATCCCAGCCACCTATAAGTGGGGGAGGGGGCGATGGCCCAGGCAGACCATCCAAAACCACAGATGATCTGGAAAGTCCTGTATTTTGATTTTGAAATGTGTCACGTGGTTTCTTCTCACAGCATTTGCCTTCCTGCAAATGTGTGGCTTATGTTAGTAAGATAAATCGCCCTTTTCCAAGCCCACGAGCAGGTGGTGGGAAAGCAGTCAACTAAGAAATGTTCTGCATGGGAGAAGCTACTCTCTCTCAGAAAGACGACACGTGTAATACACACACAGGTGTACTAGAGAGTGACTGCTCAGACCCCATTAGATGGGGTCGTTATCCCTGGCACTCTGCCCACAGGATGAGACTCCCCAGCATCCAGTTCCCCCACCTCCCAAAGCTGTTACTCCTCTGCAAGCAACATGGAGTGGGGGTGGCTTTGCTGAACGTGTCCATGGGAAGAGCTGTGGTTTCCTCCGCTGACTCCTTTAGCCACAGCCCACGGCTCCCGAGTTTTCCCTAACACAGACTAGTCAGCAACTCCCAGGCAGCCACTCCCACTGGGGCTTGACTGTGGGTAGAGCCGTGCACAGCCCTAGGGCAGAGAGCTGAAAGAGCAGTGTTCCCTCAAAACAGCTAGGGCCCGGGAAGGGGTAGGAGTGCCCTAATGACACCAGGGAGCGGAGCTGGTTCAAATGCTCCTGTAGACTCTGCCGTTCCCAGCCCAGAGAAAAAAGTGTCTTTCTCTTCAGCGTTGATGAGAACTCATGAGCAACAAGTATGAGATCAGTAAGAAGACAGTGAACACCCGCTCCCTATGCAGGAGCTAAACAGCCATCAGGACTTTTCCAAAGATGATCTTTCCTTGAGGAAATACCCAATCCGTTTTCCCCAACAGAAGAAATATAAGTTTAAAAAAAGAAAATCCACCTAAGTTTCATAACATACACCTATAGTCTCAACTGCTCGGGAGGCTGAGGCAGGATGCTTGCGTGGGCCCAGGACCTCAAGACTGGTGTGAACAGCATAGCAAGATGCATCTAAGAAAGAATGAATATATATATGTATTATTCATCAGTGTCTTTTTTTCCTACACCAGCAGTAAGCCAACCCCCATCCTAGTTATAACATGCAGAACCTTGAACTCTGTGGCTACTGAAAAGGAGCCTGTTAGCTGGCTAGAAACGCAGGTTCTAAGTAAGATGTGTCTTCCTCCTGCCTCAGGCTAGAAGGGACATAGAGTGAGTTTCCTGCTGCTCTCGGTCGTGTCGTGATCACGTGCTTACTGAAATGAATGCACTTTCATTGAAATCACATACGCTGTACCCATTAACAGGCTAACGGTAGACATTCCCCTGCCAGGAGCGTTCAGGCACTTCTCTGCCAACCCAGCTGGGAAATACCTTGTGCGCTCTAAACCCACAGTGGTCCCCCCCACCCCCACCCCTGTTTCTTTTCTCTCTCCTTCCTGCAGGGATGGACTAGAGGATGGTGACAGCCAGGGGGATGGGAGCAGCCAGCCAGACACCATATCCATCGCCTCCAGGACCTCTCAGAACACAGTGGACAGTGACAAGGTAAGACGGAGTCCCAGCCTTCCTCCCCTCTACCCAAACTCATGGTTGGTTTAACCAGCCCTGGAGAATCGTGCTCAAATTTCCACCCACTCTGGAGCCAAACAGCAAGGAGCCAGCCGTCTCATGCCACCAAAGGGGAAAGGTCAGGGCTGGATTGGGAGAATCACACAAGGGGAAAGGTGAACAGAGAGAGGCTGCTGGACCGCTCTGACAGGAGAACAGACCTCAGAGAGGCTGAGATTGCTCTAGTGTCTGAGACACCGATACCTGTGACTGGCTCGGATTTGCGATGGTTTGACTGGGGCGTATTTCAAAATTAGACCAGTCACATAGATACTACTCAGTAGGGACCTCTGTCCCAAAAGGACCCTAGTGGGTAAATGACACCTCTCCCTGGCCACGTACTGAGGGCTCAGCTCCTGAGAGATTAGGGGCAGGGGAACCAGCCAGTGGCACATGAAACATGAAGTCATCCTCTAAGAAAACCTGGTCAGTTGTCTCCTACCCCTTGGAGCAGGCAAGCAGCATTAGGAGTCCTGAGGGGAAGGCAGGAAAGAGGGCGTCCCCATGTATTTGTTCAGGCTGCCTGGGGGAGGCAGTTGTTGGAATCTGCAGCAGAGAGAGGAAAGGGGGCCAGGGCCTGGCCAACTCACATTCACCTACCCAGAGCCCTGGGTATGAGGTAATCTACTGCTGCGTATTCGTAATGTTATTGTCGAAGTTAGACTTTCCCAAACACTGCTTGGCCCTAGTTCCTTCAGACCTGGCCCTTCAGGCTACCCTACAGCCTTAAGCAATAGGCCATGCCAGTTCTTTAGTTTTCTATGTTATGGATACCTTTCTACACTTATTAGGTTTTCACTGAGAGCTAAGTATGGGGACTGTGCCCTAAACCTGCAGAGATAATGTCAGCAACACCTTATCCTAACCACATAAACAGACAAATGCTCAAGGACATTCAAGGTCCGTTCCATATGACAGCTGCTTTCATGTTTTAAATCCATTTTCGCCAGCCGGGTAGATGGAACCTTTGAGGGTATTTTTTTTTTCTACTTACACAAAGGAAACTATGTCAATGTTTTCCTGACTTCTCCGGCCTGATGTCTAACAGTCTAACTAGAATACCCTGTGAATAAAAGTGTTCCTTTTAAAAGCACTTCCTGGTTGGTAAGTCAGGTGTGATATTCCCCATGTTCAGGCGTAGACTTCCAGCTTTGTTGCTGGGGGAGTCACCCCTCACAGCTGCTAACCCATCTCCCAGGATCCTGACACAGACAGAACCCCCCTGGCCAGGGCCGTTTGCCCATTCCTTCTCTTGCTTGGAAGGTAAGTGAGGCTAGACCACACCTTTGACATCAGACGTTTTATTGCAGATGAGGGATTTTAGGACTCACACTCTTGTCTGAGTAGCCAAGCGACTCACCCCAGAAAATTTCAGTGGTCGGCATTAAAGCAGGAACTAGCACTCAGACCCTAGGAGCCAGAACATTGGACTCTCAGTGCTGAGTTCATCCAGCTGTGTGACCTTTCTAAACATGCCACATGCAGAGCAGACACACACTCCTGTCAAAGCCCCTGCCATGTGCCACACTATGTGCCGGGTCCTGTGGCGAGCCGCGCACTGTCTGTTGAGTGTGAATCCCCATCCGTGCGACTCCTTGTTTCCTGTTGTCTCTATAGCCAGGCCGCTGGTCCCCGAAGAGGGCATGGGCTGTGTCTGTCTGTTCCCCTGCTGTACTCTTGGGCACTTAGCACACGTTAAAACTCGGGAGTTACTTGTGAAATCAGTGAATGTAGCTACACACTGATAGGTCTCCAGGAACAGAGAAGTAAGAGGCAAGTGAAAACAGTTTTTCCAAAACTAGCCAAGTATACGAATGTCCTGTTTCTTAAGACATTAAAGAACCCTAGAAGACTTGAACAGAAAGCTTAGTAAGCTGGAATACTTACCCTCTTGGGAGCATGAACTCCCAGTCACCTTTTCTGTCCCTAGGATACAGGAGCTCCATATATGAAGCCTCAAAGAAAAATCACTTATTCTCAAACAAAAATAGTAGCAGTCTGTTGATGAGCATGCAGTCTCCTTTAAAGTGTCCTCACTCTGATCCCAACCCAGCAGTGGGGACAGGGCGGCCATGTGGCCCCTGTGACTTGTGTCTCCTCCAGTAGTGAAGTCAGTCACTGGCCATGTTGAATTCATAGGTCTTATCAACAGGGTCGAGTTCCTTCCACCTCTCCTAGAAGACCAGGGAAGCCTGGTTTTCAGGTGACCAGACAGACATCTCTGGACTGACTCAGGTAAACTGATCACAGTCAACAGAAGGGTCAGTGACGATGGCTTTATGGAGAGGTCAGGGCAGAGACCCCTCATAGAAACGAATCATTCCAGCAATAGACTTTCCTCAGAGTGTCAGGTCTTCTTCCTTAGACGGGAAGGAATGGCTTATGTCCGCACCAGTGGCCGGCTGAAGGCCCCAGGGAGCCCACTTTGGGCTGAGGCACCCCTCCTACTGCCTATTGTGTAACAGAAAGCTGGAAGATGCCCAGATGTGACACCATCACTGTCAGCTCGCCCAGTTATCATAGCTCAGTTTCCCCATATCTAAGGAGCATAATGACGCCAGCTCACAGAGCCATTGGGAAGAATAAGTGGCCTATATCTACTTGGTAGCTGACTGACATTTGTTAAAAAAAAAAAAAAAAATTCAGTCTTAGAGTACAAATACAATGCTTCATGAAGAGCTCCGTGGGTTCTTAAGCCGAGTTTTAACTTCTGGCTTCATCATTATCAGCCGCTTATCTGTGTTGGTCCTAAGATGATGTGGCTTCTTCCATTTCCCTGTATGTGAACAGAATGACCTTTCTCCCCTGCTTTCCATGTTAGCCTCTAGACTCTCAAGCACGGATGTTTGTTGCTCATGGGTTATCTTATTGGCAATAGATTGTGATCTGCTTACGTCTGACATTGGACGATGAAAGTTTACTGCATTTGAGCAATGGTAGGCTCTTGGGCTGTAGGTATTTGGAGACAGATCGTTTTTCTAGTCTTTGAAGGCTACTTTAGAAGTCTTCAGGTTCTCCAGCTTTTGGTGGTGTTAATATGTTCCCAGAGTATGTCATTTCCTCGCTCCCTGCCTATGGACCTCCTTCCGCATGTATGGACTTCCTTCAGCGTGTAAAGTCTATATAAAACAGGGTGTTTAGAAGGGTGTGCAGCCTGCACGTGGGATCTAGCTGCGGATACAGTCTTTGCCCTAGAGTTTATCCTAAAACGATCATCATGTCTAGTAGAGTGCCCAGTGTTGCTCATAAAATCTCAAAAATGCCTTTTTCGTGGACAGACTTAGACTTAGTCAGGCAGGTGAGCACGGGACAATTCTGTGTCTGCTCGGTTCTCTTGTCTAGACGCACCCCTGTGTCCTAGCATGCTATGAATATGAAGTATTCCTTTCAGTTTTCAGCTGCATCTCCCAGAACCACGTTCTGTTCCTTCTCCATACTCTTTTAGTAAGATTGAAGGAAGGCCAATATGCAGCTTCCTTTCTCATCCACCACATGGAAGCCCTTTGTTTGGCTCTTCTTTAAGGCCTTAAGAAATGGAAACCCTACCATGTTCCCCTGTGGCAGAGGACCTGGGACTGTTGGCTTAAGCTGTAAGTCCGTCCCCACCCCCATTAGGGAGAACACTGTTTATTATTCATACTTCTGCATTAAACCTATACAAAGCTGAGCGCCTCAGTAAATAAATCCCACTAATAACTCTCCCAGACTTGCTTTTGTTTGATCCTCAAGCAGATCTGCGTAATTAGGTTTTCCACAGGCCTGTGTTATATACAAAAGTGTTGTTTCCTCAAGGCAAATGGAAACGCTCACTTTATCCCACAGTGGGCCAAACTCTGGGCACAACATCCACCCTAAAGCCTTTCACCTTGAGTTCTGGGGCCTTTGCTACCACACATCAGATATGGAGACTCACAAGATTCTAGTCAAGGGAGGCAGCGAAGAGGTGTCAGTGAAGGAGAACCTTTCTTAATGTGATGGACGCCTGCCAGAGGACTGGCATCTGCGCCATGGTGAACCTGGTGCATGCATTCAGGGCAGGCATGGTGGATGTAGTCAATGAACATGTATTGAATTAAACATCCATACCCCTCCTAGGAGTATGTACGTATTCACTCTCCATGAAAAAAAAAAAAAAAGGCACTGTTAGCCTCTAGTCATGTCCAGGCTAGCTGAAGAGAGAGAAATTGGAATGAGACTGTATTGTGGGTGCCTCGCTCTCTAATAATAATAATAAGGGGGGAGAACACTGCCACAACGCCTCACAACTGGGAAAACCACAGTCTCGCAGGATGCAGATGGAGAAAGAGCATCTCAAAGAATGCACCCTAAGTCCAGTTTTTCACATGTGGAGTCTTAACCGAGATTCCCATGCACGTGATCTATTAAGGTACCCAAGGCAGACTCAGATGTGGTTCAGGTGGTGCTAAGCTCCAGGCAGGACTCGCCAGCTGGGCACCGCATGGAGCCAAGGGCTTTGGGCTTTCGTATCACATGAGCAGCCGGTAGGCATGGGAACTGGGGCTGTGCTGGCAGGAGAGGAGGTGGGGTACAGGAGCATCTACTGCAAGGGACATGGTGATGTGATAGCAGGGGGGTGGGTTCTAAGATGAGGTATGGACCCCACCCTGACTGGCTTATAACCTAGGGTGGCCGCACTGTGGCAAGAGTTCTGTCTCAGGGTCTATACAAAGAGAGCAGTGACAGTCTTTCCCAGAGTTCTGAAGGACTAGATGAGATCCATGTCTGTAATGTGTGAGCCTCAGGGACCCACGAGTCCAGGAGAGGTCTCCATTTCAGATGCCCAGGACAGGAAAATAAGCAACATGCTCCCTGAAGTCTTAAGAGGCTGCTGTATTTTGCCTCTACAGAATAAGCCATATGTCAGCCAGTGTAAAGATTGAGCAATTCCAACTACTGTGTTTTCCTTGAGAACTTCT